GCCGCAGCTATTAATAACGCCACTGGTGGGAGGGTCACTTTAGGCAAGGCTGGGGTTACTGGGCGGGGTGGGAGGGCCTGCTGCCAGGCAGCCGGCCAGTGGGCAGGGGAGGGGGAAATGACGGGGAGTTCTTGGCCAAGAGGCCTGTCCACCCGCCCCGTCCCTCCGTGGCCACCGTGTTGGGCAGCGGCTCACCAAGGACGTCCTTCCTGTGCAGAAAGGACACCTTGCGCAGGACGGCCATCCTGGTCTTCTCCAGCCCGTCCTTGGTCCCGCTCTTGGCGGCCTTCATGAGCTGGGTCATCTGAGTGGAGGCAGAGGGCTCATCAGGGAGCTGCAGGAGGGCCCGGGGCACCTGCCGCCCGGCACGGCTGCAGCAGCGGACACCACCTAGGCCCACTCCCTCCCGGGGAGGCCAAGAGGGCGCCCTGAGAAACGGCCTGAAGCAGGTGCCCCGGGGAAGCCAGGCGAGAAAGAGGACCCAACCTAGTTTTCCCCTTCGGGGCAGACATCAGGTTGAGGGCATGGCCCAGCACTGTGGGCCTGTCACCAATGGCATGGCACTGGGGTCCCACTGAGGCCTGGCACTAGGGAGGGGCAGGGTGGGGGTGCACTGGGAGAGTGGCATCGAATGTGCCACTTGGGGGTCACATGGGGGTGAGAGGTGTGGCACTGGGGGAGCACTGGGAGATGGCACGAAGCATGGCTCTGAGGTGTGACCGAGAATGGCACCAGGACATGGCACCTGGAACAAGGCTCAAGGCCTTGGCTCTAATGCCAGCTCCCCAGAGGCCTGGAACCTCACTCAGTCTTTGTTCCCTCGGGCCAAATTAGGGAAAGCACCCCCGTGCCCGAGCAGGTCTGAGGCGAGGGGCTGAGACAGGCCGGCCCACCGCAGCACATGCCCACGCGAAGTTCCACAGTTGTCGGACTCAGAGGTGAGCCCGCTCCCTGAGCCCCAAGCAGCTCTGTGACTGCGTCCCGTCCCACGCGGGAAAAGATGAGAAGCCTGGAGATCCACAGAGCAACGCGCCACTCCCTCCGTGGAGGGCGGGGCAGGCCCGGCCTGTGGGTCCCATCGAGCAGCGAGCCAAGCAGAGCACGAGGCGCCCCCCAGGGGGACGGGCACCCTGGGCCACCGGTGGGGGGCTGCGGCCTGGGGAGAGAGCTGCTGCCCCCGGAAGGCATTCCTAGCCCCTCTACATTCAAGACCACCAGGGGGTGCCTGAGGACAGGGATGTCCTGGAGCTGGGCCACCACCCTTGAAATGCAGCCCTTGCAACTGAGGAGCCAAGTGCCTAATGCCCTTTCCCCTCCGCTTGGTGAGACGCAACAGCCACGGGGCTGCCAGAAAGCCCGGTGGTTCCGGGGAAACCCTCTGCCCAAACTCTGCTGAGGGTGGGGACCACTCACCTGGAGGCACCCTCTGCTCATACTGTGGTTCCCAGCAGCCCCTAGGCTTCTGACTTTAAGGGTGGAGGGAGGGAGTTTTCTGGGGACCCCCAGGGGCCTGGCTGGGAAGGTGGCTGATGGCCCTTTGGGGACAAGGCCAGCCCTCTGCTCTCTGGAAGGAGCAGCGGGCAGAAGGGGCAGGGCCCCGCGCCTCCTCCATCTCTGACACACTCTGCAGCAATGGCCCTGGGCCTTCGGGGGATGCGTGTTCAGGAGGAACGTCTTCCCAGAAACTGCACCCAGGAGCTCATCTCTTCTGGGGGGGTCACTCTGAAGGGCTGACCTGTGAGCCTCCAAAAATGGTCTGTAGGCAAATACCCAGGACAGGGACCCTGCACTCCCACTGGCGTCCACAGTGTTGACTCTTGGGCTAGGCAGGGACTTCCCCTGGGCCCTAGGGGCAGAAGCTCCTAGTGTTAGGCTCTCCCAGAGGTGCCCCAGGCTCCAGCCTCAGGAGGCCCCTGTGGGGGCAGAGGCTCCCTCCTTCCCCCTTAAAGGCTAGGGGCTGCTGACTCAGCATTGCTGTCAAATGCGGGTCCTTCGACCTTGGCGTTGGGTGGGCTGGTCTGAACCCCAGCTCTGCCACGGGGTGAGCACTGCCTGGTCCTCACTGGCCCCCTGGCATCAAGCAGGAGGGATGACGGCTGACTCCCGGGGTTTGGCACGGGAGTCCATGGGCGGTGTGCAGAGGACAGCCCCAGCCCCCGTCTGCTGATGATCCACCGCTCACGTGGGCGGGGCCTTAGCTCATCCTCAGAATCCCCCAAGGTGCCCCACCCCCACTCCTGCTCACAGATGAGGAAGCCAAGCTGGCCGGGCGTCACACAGTGAGGAAGTGGTGGGGCCAGGACTCAGTGGCCACAGTAGGTGCCCGAGGCTCCCGTGGGTACAGTCATCATTAGAGGAGGCCCGTCAGAAAGAAGGGGCTGTTTTCTCACCATGACTTCCTCATTGTGGATGGATCTCCGGACAGCGTGGAGGGGGAGGAGCTACCTTTGTCACCAGTGTTGGGTTTTCCAAAGTGTCCCGGGGTATGCTTACATATGCAGTTTCCTGGACCCCACGGAGCCAGCATCCCTGGGGGTGGAGCTGGGAAGCTTCGTTCCACAGCCCCCCAGGTGCCTCTGCAGGCCCTGAGGTTGGAAAGCCCACCCAGGAGACCCCATGCGCAGCTAGGGGCGTCCTTGAAGGTAGGGGCTGGGGGAGATAAGCAGGAACACGGGACGGACAAGCTGGTTAAGGCACTGGCCGGTTCCCACACAGATGTGAAATGAGGCCGGGTCCCAGGTGCCACGGGCAGCATGGGGACTTAGGGGCAGGTGACAGGGCTCAGGCCCGCCCACCACAGCTGGGAGCAGCAGGAAAGGCCTCCTGGGGGCAGCTGCAGCTCAGAGTGGCCTCCACCGATGACTTGGGAGGGACACAGACAATACCTTACAATCGTACTTGTGCTTCAGCTCCTGCATGTCTCTCCCCCCAACTCTTAAAGCCAAGAGGTCTCTCTTAGTCCTGGCGCATCTCTCCTTGAGCCTAGTCAGGTCTGGAGAAAGCTGGAGCCCCCAAGCGGCCAGGCAGAAGGAGAGCAGGTGAGCGGAGCAGGCGGACAGGGAGGAGACAAAACACAGACAACAGAGGAGAAAGGAGACTTCGGTAAAGTGGCGAATGGACAACTCGGGGCAGGTGGGATGTGGAGGCGGGGAGGGCCAGGGCCCAAGCAGCCGAGCGTCCAGGCTCCTGCCCGGTATCTGCTCCAGCAGTGTCCAGCCCCAGCCTGCCAGGCAGCCGGGGGCTGTCTTTGCAGCAGGGAATCCTGGCTGCGGGGGAAGAGAGGGGAGAGGGCAGAGGCCCAGCCTCCCTCCCTCAGTGGAGGAGAACCAGGACTGTGTCTGGGTCACATCCCCAACCCCAGGGCCAGCATAGAGCCTGTCACACAGGACGTGCTCAAGAAGTACATGGGATGGATGGGTGGATGGAAGGACGGACGGACAGGTGGACGGCAAATGGATAGATGGATGGATGGATGGATGGATGGATGGATGGATGGATGGATGGGTGGGTGGATGGATGGATGGATGGGATGGTTGGGCAAGGGGACAAACGGATGAGTGGGCAAATGTACAGAAAGGTGAATGTGTGACTGGCTATCTGGGCAGACAGATGGCTGGAAACGCAGAGTGGGTGAACAGATGGATGAGTAGAGGCAGAAGCAGATGAGTGGGAGGGTGGGTGAATGGATGGGTAGTAGATGGCTGGGCTGATGAGTGAGGGAGAGAAAGGATAGAGGGATGGAGGCCATGCTGTGCTGGTGAATATCTAACAGCTTTCTCCTGAAGAAAAAGAGCCCTGCCTTATACAAGAGTGGATCAAGGGTTTCTGAGACAATGGAGTGGAAAGACAACGAACGCATCAAGAAGTTCATTCGCAGGACAATGGAGTGGAAGCGATAAGGGAATTTTTCCATAAACCTTTTTGAAGGGCCCTCATGTGAATACTCTCACCATGGTCAACTTCAAGCTACCCATGTAACTTCACTGGACAGAGGTGGAAAGAGCCGACTGGTTCTTAGGAGCTAGCGCACGCTGGCTCCAGTTCACCACTGCAGTGAAGGTGGACGGAGGAGTGGGTAGATGGATGGCTGGATGGACAGATGAGTGGGTGGGTGGGCAAGACTTCCGGGAAGATGGATGGACGGATGAAGAGAAGATGAGCAGATAGACGTTTACATGTATGAGTCCTTAAAGAACAATGATCATTAGTAAAGAGTACCCCTTCGGAAATAGTAGACAAATAACAGGATCGAGAGCAGGAGCTCTGGAGGCTGGCAGGTCTGCCTTCAAACCATTGCTGCTTGCTTCACAAGCTCCTCTACCTCGCAGAGTTGCGGCTCCTCGGCAGTAAGTGGCCGGAGCAGTGCCTACACCACAGCGTTGTTGGGAAGATTAGCACGTAATGAAAAGTACCCAGCAAGCCAGGACTTAGCAGGTGCTCTACCATGGAAGCCATTAGTATTGTATCTTTCCGATTGTAAGTGGTGTTGGTCTATGAATGCACGGATGTACGGGTGGATAGATGGGTAGGTAGGTGGGGAGATGGATGAATGGATGAGAGGGTGGGTGGGGAGATGGAAGAGCAGAAAGAGCACATCACGTCACCCCTCTGGGCGTGTCCTGTGAGTTCTCTCAGCACCAGAGTGACTCTGTAATGCCCACCGCAATGCCCACCTCTCTGGGGCATTATAAGGAAATGGCATGAAACCATGCTGTGAACCGTACCACCAGGGGACAGGACTCCCCATGAGAGGCACCCAGACCCCTGGGAACCTGGGGGATTTGTTTCACCGGTAAACAAGATCAGCACAGGGAAACAGCCAGGGCCGAGCCTTCTCTGGGGCCAGCGGCATGAGAAAGTATCAGCCTCAGAAGCTGCTTGCTGAGCTGGCCGGCTGGGAGCAGGGAGTGAGAGGCCGAGGTGGGAGCTGGCATTCCTGTGCCAGCCCACAGGTTCTGTCCCTATGAAGGGATGACAATCAGAAGGTTGAAGCGTTCGAGGCAGCCTGTCCCCTCTGGAGAACAGCCCCACTGCTGACGCATGGCGGCCAGCAGGACCCCTATTAACCTAGTGGGACAAGGGGACTGCTTTCACCTGGGCCAGGTGTTTCCAGGTCAGGAGGTCTCTCTGCCGACCTGGGTCTCTGTCTAGAACAAAGGTCTGCAGTCCAGGACTGGCCTCTCAGGGCGTCACCAGTTCTCTGGTCATTGGGCAGAGGGCTGGGCCCATAGTCAGACATGGACAGGACACAACATCTCCCCGGACCTTGCGACTGACTGCCCCACAGCACACACAGCACAGAGCCAAGCAGAGGGAGCCCCAACACAGCGACCGCTGCAATGCCAAGCAGAGGACCAGGTGCACCCCAAGCAGCTCAGGAGGCAGAGCCCTGCAGGAGACCCCAGAAAAAAGGCCTTCACGCAACCGCATCTCCAGGGGAGTCGGTCTGCTGCTGAGGGAGCGGACAGGATTCGCACCCCCACAGCCAGAGAAGGCGTCAAGTTAGCACTCCCAAGACCTCTGCCACACTGTCTGTCTGCTGAGGAAGGGTCCAAAGCCCCCAGCTCAAGGGCGGAGAGACATGAGCTCACAGACCCCCACCAAGGACGCTGCTGCCCCAGGGCCAGGCCACGGGTGAGCTCCATCCCTGTAGTCCCCAGAGTGTCCGCTGCGGGCAGAGTGCTGGCTAACAAGCAGGCTGTGGGGCCTCCGCCCAGTCCCCTCTGCCGGGGAAAGAGCCATGGGAGAGCCAAGGGCCTGGGGCCAGAGCCTAGAGGCCACGTGGTCCCACAGTCCAGAGTGGGGCTGGAGGCATGAGTCCTGCCCACATATCAAGAGAGGCCTGGGGGTTCCAGACCCACCTCCCTTCAGGGTGTAAGAAGCAGACACGGGCTCTTCCCAGAGCACCTTCCTCCTCTCCTCCTGCCTCCTCCTCAGGGCCCCAAGGCTAGCCCCGTCTCAGATACGGGTCCAGGCAGCAAAGCCTTCTCTCCTTAATCCCAGCCGGGCTCCAGACACAGCCGCTCTCCGTGGGCTCGTGCCTACAGAAGAGCACTTCTCTGTCTTTCTCACCAACTGTTCACAGCAGGGACATCTTCCTAGACCTCGAAGCTCTGGTGGGTCTGCACCGGGTCTTCCTACTGCTATGTGGCCACGCCCAGTCTGAAGACAGGACAGGGCCCAGGGCAGGTGCACCATGAGGCCCAGACCGGGGAGGCTCAGACCCAGAGACACCCCCCCCCGGGGATTTGGGGAGCCATCCTGGTCAGAAGAAAAGCTGCTTAGAACTCCAGGGATGGGCACTGCACATCACCATCCTGCTGCCAGCGAGGATCTGCCCAACCTCTGGGCAGGAGGCTCCAGGGTCAACCATGGAGCCTTCCCTCATAAGGCCAGAGACAGCCCCTGCCCAGCCACAGCCCCAGGCAGGGCCCCCCTGTCTTCAGCAGGGCTGGCCACGGGGGCAAAGCTGTTCTGTATCAGCTAAAAGGAGCCTGAGAGGCACCCAGCCACCTCTGGTCAGGCAAGGCCAGCAGAAGCTGCCGATCTCAGCGTGGATGGAACTGCCTGCTAGTGGCTTCTCTAGAACAACGAATGGGGAGGCACAAGCAGGGGCACCGCGGAGGAGGAGGAGGAGACGGACTTTCTGCCCTTTGGGGCTTCGGAACTCTGTCCGCTGAGCAGAAACATCCGAAGTGGCTCTGTCTCCCCTTGCCCAGGCATGGAGGGGAGGGTGTGCCTGAGGGTTCACCTGAGAGGGCATCCTTTGGGGAAGGGACACCTAACAGGCTTGTTCCCCATGCCAACTCGGATTGCTGGGTCAGGACACCTGGTCTGATGTTGGGAAGAGCTCAGGGCCAGCTCTGATCCCAACGGGAAGGACTTTGTGACGGTCCATGGGGTCTGCTACAGATCACTGCCATCTGGATGCCCATCGTCGTCGGCCTGACCCTCACCGCCCACCCCCCCCCACGGCCTCGGAGGGAGGCGCCCAGCCCCTCACCTTCGGCTGGAAGGAGCCCCGGTGCTTGGCGGGCTCAGCCTCAGGCTTCACCTCTTCCCCGGAGTCCTCGCTGTAGCTCTCAAACTCGCTGGAGCTCCAGCCCAGGTCGTCCGCTCCCCGCGGCGCCCCGTCCGGGGGCACACCCTCAAACAGCTTCCTCTCAGCCCCTGCCAGCCAAGAGACAGCACTGTGAGCACAGGCCCAGGTCCAGTGGGAGCCCGGGCGGCAGAGGACGGAGCAATGTCCACCTCGCAGAGACAACACCGAGAGCAGTGGAGGCCGGTGCCAGGCAGGCAGGGCTTCCCTCCTCTTCTCGGTACTGTGGGCACGCTGGAGGACCTAGGTCAGCAGTTCTCAACCTGTGGGTCACAAACCCATGGGGTCGAACGACCCTTTCCCAGGGGTCACCTAAGACCATCGGAAAACACATCAGGTCTTAAGAACTGAGATGTCCACCCACATGCAGATACGCCCACCTAAGAGTACCCGGCATGAAGACTGTTACCCATGCTACACCATGCTGCAAGAAATAATTTCATTTATTTGTCATCTACCTTGCAAGTCTGGCTAGACCAGAGGAGGTACACTGGTACAGATAGGAACTGGAAATACAGGGAATCCAGGGCAGATGATCCCTACAGGACCAGTGGTGTGAGTGGCAATACTGGGAGGGTAGAGGGAGGGTGGGTTGTAAAGAGGGAACCGATTACAAGGGACTATATGTGACCTCCTCTCTGGGGGACGAACAACAGAAAAGTGGGTGAAGGGAGACGTCGGACAGGGCAAGATATGATAAAATAATAATTTATAAATTATCAAGAGTTCATGAGGGAGGGGGGAGGGGGAAGGGAGGGGAAAATGAGGAGCTGATGCCAGGGGCTTAAGTGGAGAGCAAATGTTTTGAGAATGATGAGGGCAATGAATGTACAAATGTGCTTTACACAATTGATGTGTGTATGGATTGTGATAAGAGTTGTATGAGCCCCTAATAAAATAATTAAAGAAAAAAGAGTTGTATGAGCCCCTAATAAAATAATTAAAGAAAAAAGAGTTGTATGAGCCCCTAACAAAACGATTTTAAAAATTCATTTAAAAAAAGAAAGAAAGATTTCACGGTAAAGAATTAAATATTGTTTTTGTGATTCATCACTTTGCTTTAATGATGTTCAGTTTGTAACAATGAAAATACATCCTGCATATCAGATACTTACATGATGATTCGTAACAGTACCAAAATGACAGTTATGAAGTAGTAACAAAAATAATTGTATGGTTGTGGGTCACGCTGTATGAAAGGGTCGCAGCATGAGGAAAGTTTAGAACCACTGCCCTCGGTCAAGTCCTGCTTTGGCCCTGAGCTCCCCCTCTGGGCATTCCAGGCAAACTGGAGGGGAAATGTGGGGAGAAGGAGAGCCAGGATCCAGCATGGGGTGCAGCTGGCCCAGAATCCAAGAGCCTCCCTGCTTCTCCCAAAGCCCCAAGAAATGGCTTGGAAGATAGAAACTGTGGACCAAGAGCTGGGTGGGACCCTCCACTGGTGTGGAGGACACACCCCACAAAGGCCGTAGGACTGCCTGCTGGGGTTCTTCTCAAGTTGGGGGTGGAAGGGCCCTTTCAGGCTGAGGTGGGAAAGCAGTGACCCAGGCCCAGCACTGGGTCCACTGAATGGCTAGGATGCCCCAGGAGGTACTCTAGGGCCCTGGGCTTCCAGGTCCTCATCAAGGACCCAGAGATGTCCTGCAAGCCTCACAGAAGACAGGTGCGGATGCAAACACCTTGTCAGCCCAGAAGGCCACGCCCAGCCCTAGTATCAGAGCAGCTTCCTGCAATACGGAGCTGAGCTGCTGCTGGGCCCCAGGGATGGACTGCCCAGGAATGGACGGTCCCAGGGATGAACTGCCCAGGGATGGACTGCCCAGGAATGGACGGTCCCAGGGATGAACTGCCCAGGGATGGACTGCCCAGGGATGGACGGTCCCAGGGATGGACTGCCCAGGGATGGACTGCCCAGGGATGGGTGTGCCCCACATAGCTGCTGATCATCGCTCACCAGGGGTGGGGTTGGGGGGCAGCGGGTGAGGGCACTCTGAGTGGGCTGTGTCTACAAGCTCAGGGCTTAGGGGAGAGAGGATGGGGCAGGAAGGCTGGCAGCCAAGGAGCAGCCCAGGTCTAGCACAGAGGCCTCGCAGGAGAGACAGGTCCAAGTGAGGAGGCAGTGGATGGGTGGTTATTTTTAAACAGCAGAAAACAGTGACTAATGGCCCTGGGGAGTGGGGCAGCTGGAAGCAGACTTTGCCTTTAAAGGGCTGGGCTGATGGTCCATTACTGCCCGGGGTCAGAGGGGTGCACCTGGGACAGTCCCCAGCCTGCCCATGCACGGGTACACCCACAGGACTTCTCCCTGGAGCCTATGTGTCAGCAGGAAGCAAATCCCCATTGCTCCCATTAAGCAGATGAGACAATAGGGGCCCAAGAAGCTGATGTGAGCCAGGCTGGAGAGGGAGTAGGTGCAAGGCTGCAGGCTTCTAGGCCAGTGCTCCCGACATGTGCCACCTGGCCTTCCTGGGCCAGCCCCATGGTCTGCACCATCACCCTTCCATGCCAGCAGGCCTGGCTGTCCCCAGGGGAGACCCGCTCCTCCTTCCCACCACCCTAGAGTGGTGTCTGCAGGCTCGGGGCAGGGACGAGGACTCAGGCTGTCTGACTCCCGGGATACCTGCCCACCACGGCCTCACTGTAAAACCCGGGGGTAGCAAGGACATGCCCTGTCCTCCCAGACCCCAGGTGAAGTGAAGACTCCGAACCAAGTAGCCGCCAGTCGCTTAAATGACTCACACGAGAAAACCCACTGGCAGCCGGCTAAGTCAAATTCCCTGTGCCCTCAGCTACGCAGACCTCCCAGCTCTGAGACCCACTATCTCCCCACCCAACACGCCTCCCCTTCCCCACCCCCGACTCTGTGGAACCTCAGCAGGGAAACGCCCAGGGGGTGAGCTCTGCCTAGGGCTCTGGGGACCTGGGGCCTTGTCGTGGCCCCTGTGTGGCCCCGCAGTGGGAGTGCTGGTCAAAAAGGCTTTGTCAAAACAGAAGCAAGAGGACACTCAGAGTGCCACGGGGCAGCCCCCAGACCAGGTGGGGGAGTCCCTGCAACAGGCAAGAGGAGATGCCACAGGGGCTCAAATCCTGCCTGCGTGCCAGGACGCACACACACACATATGCGCGCGCTGAGTCTCTCCAATGTGCCAGGGCCCTGCCCTGCTGAACTCACAGGGCTGGTAGGGCAGAG